CCCCAAAAATTGCATTGCATTCATTTAGTTTAATTTAATTTTCATATAGATTTTAGGATATTTGCATCTTGCATTTAGATTAGAATTTTGCATTTTAGTTTAGGTCCATTTATTGCATTTTTTTATCACCTAAATTTTTACCTAAAGAAACCCATAACTTGCTCCTTGGAAGTAATGACCTAGGTGACCTAAACTACAAATTAATTGGGACCTAGTTTAATTGAGTGCTTTGACGACAAAAGGCATCATCAATCACTCTTAGATAAATCAGGGTACATTAAAAGAGCTATATGTGGCAATATATAAATACTCATCACATGACAAAAATGAGGATATACAAGACAAACTTGATAGCCAACCCTTTGCCGCCTTTCCTGAAGGACCAGCCCTAGAGCTATTACTTGAAAATTTTAAACTATAGGATGAGACAAAAGTCTCAGGAGTCAACAATCCTACTCATCAAGCATACAAACAAGTGCTTGGAAGGTGTCAAGTGGAACAGTTACAAAAATAATAACATTCACAATTGTCACATGGTTATATATATGTATATATCTAAATACAATATCTCACTCTCAATTCCACCTTATTTTCGCACACTTTTTTTCCTCTGACTGAACCCATTGGCTACTAGTACTGATTTATGTGACTGGTAGCTCAACACAATAAGCTCACTAATCAAGTGATGTGAACAGGCCAAAATCCACAGAACACAAGACCGGACCATGGGTTTCACCTCTAGCCTACTAGCGAGATGTCATATGCCCTACAGCACGCAAAAGGGCCAAAGGATCAACCAGTATACATCTGGTGTCCTATTATATAATTACCTATATAATATGTACAAAATTCACCCCTTATTTTTTCTGTAATATGCCTCCCATCAATCCACATTCACCATCCTCTCTCGTATTTATACTCATGAAATTTATAAAATAATTACTTACCAATACATTTACCAAAATCAAGATTTTTAAATTTCAATAATCAACATCAATCCTCAAAATCATTTCTCAATAAATTCATGTCCTACATGACAACTTTATAAATTTATAATTTCATAACTATTTTTTCAATAACATTAAGTATCTCAAGGCAATTTCAATAATAATACATTTTATTGCTTAAATCATATCCTAATGGCATTTTAAGAATATCATGTAATTTGAAATCACTCACAAACATCATAAAATCATATATAACAAGTGAAAAGTAGTTACTTTTTACTTAAGCTATAAAAAGATTACCACAAAGTCAATCCCGTGCTCAAACCAATAATCCAATAATTAATCTACACATTAATATAACCATATATTAATATAAGCTAGTTAATTAATTAATTAATTAAGCTTATATATTAGTTAAGTTTCTTATTTTATTTTATTTTATTTTCATTCTAAATTTTCACACTTTCATAACCCAAACTAAGTATTTTATAACTAACTTATAATTTTTTAAGAAGCCAAATTATTCATTTACATCCTTCACATTATTTACTTTACTAAAAAGAATTTTCTAACATTTTTAAATATGAAATTATTATATTTTAAATTTTAAAAATCTCATTTGAAGTTTAAATCTTAAACCAAATCATCAAAAATTAAATAGCACCTCAAATATTTATAAATAAATAATCTAATCAAAATTTTAATAGTATAATTATCATTTTTTTCACAAATAACAGATTTTTTAGCTAAAATAATTATTTTAAAACTTCCAGTCACCCAATAATAAAACTAAACCGATTAAAATCTCAATAATATGTCAAATGATCCAAATAAATTATTTAACTTAATTTTAATCGGTATAAATATGGTGTCTCATAAATAAAAGATTTTTTTAACTAAAAATTAATTTTTAAATACTAAAACCAATAAATGAATAAATCTAAACCGATAGAAATACTCTAGTATAATAGATCTACAATATTACAGTTAACACTCATCAAAACTTACCACTTGCTCTAAACTTGAGATAAAAATTTTTCTCTAAATAACATAAAATTACTATTATTAGATAGTTCTAACAAAAATAAAATAACTTTTATGAAAAAATTTTTGTAATCAGGGATAATTTTACTTGCCAAAATGACGTAACACGAAAAAAAGAAATGGGAGAGAATGACGGTGCGAAGACGGAGAGACGGGGAGAAGAGAAGGAAACGACCGCAACGACAGCTATAAAGAAACATTTGCGGGAAACTGAAGTTAAGGACCCCGTTTAAAACGGAAAAAATAACAGATCGGGACCCCCATTTTTTTTAAATATTTAAATCTTCCTCATGAGCCATGTAAAAGGCAACCATTTCGTGCGGTTTGGGGGGCCCTTGAGTCAGCCGCCCGCGCCCCACCAGGGCTTCATAAAATGGCAAAAGCATAGGGTAAAGCTAAAAAAGAGACCTAATTTTTTTTCTTTTATTGAAAATGTATATAAATTAAATCTTGTGGCTCACCAAGAATATGGTAGCAGGGTGACGTGGAAAAAGCATTAATAATTTCATTAACGCGTAGGAAATGGCTCCTCTCCACTAACCCCTTGCTTAGATAGAGAGAAAATTAGGAAAAGAGAAAACTAAAAAAGAAAACATGAAGAGAAACAAGTTTTCTCTTGTTTGAATATGGGAGAAAATGTGGAGGAAGAAAATGGAGAAGAAAATAAAGTGGGTTCTATGCCTCATTTTCTCTTCAAATTTTCTCTCCATATATGGAGAGATTTGGGAAGGAAAACAAGATTTTCATGACTGCCCATCCTCTCTCTTCCTCTCCATATTTATTTTCTTATATTATATTTAAAAAGTTATTTACCTTTTATTTTTTTTGTCTTAAAACAATATTTTTATTAAATAATTTGGTTTTAAAACATAATAATCTGAAAATATATATAAACCAAATAACTTGATTTTAAATTATTTGATAATGCTAATGCTAATATAATTTTTTATTGCAATATTTAATTTAATTTAATTTTACATATGATATATTTTGATAAGAACATTTTAGTCATTTATATATTTGCTAATTTTCTTTCTTCTTTATTTTCTCTCATCCATCCAAACAAGAGGGTTGATAACAACTTCCCTCTACTTTTTCCTTCTCTCTATTTTCTCTCCTTTTAATTTTTCTTCTTATCCAAGCAGAGCCTAAAAGTAGTGGGAGAAATTCAATAGATAGGTGTAGAGATAATGACCTTCATTGTGCATAGAGGAATATGTCTATGAATATTAAAACTTTCATATATAATTTGAAGTTATTCTAGTACTTTCAGTTCTTGATATAAGATAGAGCTAGTAATTGAGGAAGTTGAATTATATTCTAAATATAAACTACAATCTATTTTATTCTCCTTATTTATTCAAACTAACCTGATTAATTATATATATTAAGGGAGTTTGCATCAAATGGTAGTTTCAATGATTTAAAAGGATACTTTAAGGAAACTAATGCATATTTTTGACAAAAAACTAATTTAAATATTTTTCTTAGTCAACTTAAATTAATTAAGTATATCTTATATTAAGGAAGGGGAAGTAGTATTCTATTGTGTGATCTATGCAATGATGGTAAATTTAATAATCATGGCGATGGAAAAACCACATGCCCATGTCCATGTCCAAAGAAGATTAAATAAAGCAAGTTGATAAAATCCAACTGTACTCATGGCTTAACCAAATAGGATACACATTCGTGTAGCTTGCGGTCTTGTTCCCTTAATTTTAACGGCTTTAGTTTACACAGAAAGATACAAAAAGGTGGCAAACGGAGAAAACAAAGTGTGGAAAAGATATTTACGGGTATTAGTCTTCTTAAGAGGGCTACAAACACATCGTCTTAGAAATATTTTTACAAAAAAAAAAAGGTCACAATCCCTGTCATCTTCTAGGAAAACAAAGGAGCGTATTTTTTAATAATTTTTATAAGGGTGATGTTACAAAGGACGAAACTCCAAAGGACGAAATCCTTTTGAGTTATGCTCGTTACCCAACTCCTATGTTGATAACATGGCATGGTGCTCCTTTCAATATGAAAGCGAAAATTGGATGCCACATTTGAATTCAGAAGCTTAATACTTAAATGAAAATTTCCTCTTTTTAATTAAGCCCAGGCTGACTCCATACTAAGCGAGACTTCCACTGACACTTAACATTGTAACAATTTAACGTTCAAAAAACTGTAATTATTTTTAAATAAATATACTGGAACTTAATTTTAAATTCTGACGTTTAGTAAGCTATTTTTAAATAAAAGTATACCTAATTGTTTGATTATTTATCTTGACGGATTTGTATTCGTAGCTTTATTTTTTAACCAACTTCTAATCTTTGTTCTTCATGTCATTTTCATGATCTCTCTTGTTCAAATTATGGATTGTTGTAGCTTTGGTTGAAGATTTTTTTTCTTTTGAAGGTAAAAGCAAACTAAACCTTAAAAATTGCGAAATCATAAAGGCCTAACAATTCCGGTTTGTAGGCAGCCCAAAATCCTGAATTGTTGAGGGTGGGCTTGGTTTCATGAGATTTTCCATATAGCTGGTAAAAAAAAAACGGAAGTTTGCCACGTGTTCGGGCTTACTTAGACAGGTCTGAATTTGGGATCACTCGAGCAGGCCGGACCCTCCTGAATTACCAGCTATAGTTGTAAGTGCTTTCTTAGGAGAGGATCAACGCAAATTCTCAAGTCGATCGAAATTTTGGCTTGATGGTGAAGCAGCATTGTGCCTCCCATGTCCCATCAAGTCACCTGATCGAATCGGGTGCTCCTTAATTGAACCCAAAAAAAAAAGGCAAATTGCCATTCAACCATTATTTACCAAACAGGCACCTCCAAAGCAGATTTCCCTGCATAAAAAATTCTTTGAATACCAAGACTCACTAACGACTGTTCATCCCATGTAGCACCAATGACCCTGCTTCCTTGACCAAACTGATCCCACCCTCTAGCTGCTCAAAACTGATCCCATTCTTCGATATGATCAAGAATTACAAGAATCTTCTTCTATGGGAATCAGGGCTGTTTTATCAAATCATGGAAATCATCTAATGTGAAATCATTGCTGCTCTTGGCTATTTCCTGAGAACCATAAAAATACCATAAATCTTCGAAATGACTAGCAATAGAATTACACACAGCACGTGCTATCTGTAATTTGTAAAATATCGTTCCCCAAATTCCTACCATTTTGACTTCCTCATTAGACCTAATATCCAAAATTGAGACTGCTTCTTCTCGATCCCAGGACTCAAATAACCCTGAAAGATCCCCATGAGGTAAAGGAAATTTATCAATCCTTCTACAGACTTCCCCAGTAACCCTTTTAGTAATAATATGCTCGTCTTCTATTGCATTCCTGAAAATTCAGAATGAATTCACTTTTTAGTCTAACAAAAGACTATGATATATTATTTCTTATCCTTAATATAAAAACTAGCTGACTAATTTGAGTAGATTAAGTAAGTTTGTTAAGTTTGTTATTTATCATAAATAGTGTTATTTTTTCTAAAATACTCTTACTAATCATATGTATTAATAGAATTATCATTTAATAAAATCTTTAACATGTGCAATATACTACAAGGACTACTTTAAAAAAAAAAGATAAATATAAAAGTCAAAGTGGATTGAGGTTTTATATTTATAATTAAAATAAAAATTAAATTAGTTCTTATATTAAGGACAGTAGGCAGTGCTACTTGTAGAAATTTACCAGCGGCAGGGAAGCATCTTTATCAATATACATACTACATGCATACATATATTATTCCACATGTAAAGTAGAATAATGCTTATTAGAATTAGTTAAAATCAAAATCTATATTTTATACATAATATCAAATTTTGAATAAGTCATATTCGTAAGTTATAAAAGAGATATGGGAGTAACAAATAGAGGAGTGCTGAAAAAGAAGAATGATTAAGAGAAAGGGTGAGGATATACTTGGGAATGAAATAGCAATTGCGTCTTGAGTCAGCTGCTTCAGCCAAAGCCAACCTCCATTTTTGCATACGTTGTTTGTCGTGTTTGAATATCTTCTCAAGCCTTGCAAATACTTGGCCGCAACTCCCTGTTTGATGTTGCAGCTCTAATGGCTGCATGTCATATAATATTAGATAAACGAATCGATATTCTATTCTGCAGCACTCAAGAATGGTTGCAAGACTATCCAAACAATATGTTGAGGATGCATAGTTTTTGAAGATAACAACGATAGCTTTCATTTCTTCCTTATCAGACATGAGAGATTCATCGTTAACAAAGGCATGGATTCCTCTTTTGCGCATGGAGTTGTAGAGATGACTAACAAAACTTGAACAATCATAATCACCGCTATGACTTAAAAAACATCATAAGTCCATCTGAATGGATATAACGCTCGCTTTGCCTTGAGACTGGCCACACTTGGAGCTAGATCTTAACAAGTACATCAGAACGTTATCACTTGAAGTTAAAAATTTTGGTTTACAGTCATTAGTTATAAACTAGTCAACTTGCATAAATGATAAAACAGACAGAAAATTCAAATCATATTTTTAAGGGAAATTGATCTCAAAGTATAAATAAAATAGAGAACGACAAGACAGGCTAAAGAAATATGTCAATCTAGCACAGTTTGGGCCAAGACTCTAAGCATAAAGCCAATTGCAAAATTGATATTGTCTCAACACTCTCAACACTGTCAATTTGACAAACAGGAGTTTTGTTCAAAGGAAAGGGTTAGTTCTTAACAAAGTGACAAATCAAGGTTTGAATATATACTATGAGATGTTTTCATATTTAGTATCCATCACTATCTCAAACAAGATTGTATCCAACAAAAGGATACCTGTGCATAACCAAAAAAAAAAAATACAAAATTGAATTTTTGAAATTTTGAAATGAAATCAAATTTGTGAAGACCATCAGACAAAATGCACACTCTAACCATGATCATACTTTATTTTGCATCTTTTGATTACTTATTTCTTTACTTTTGAAACGATCAAATATTTATTGACTTCGTTAATTTATATTTTGGCTTCTTATTTTTATTCACTATTTTTTAATTTTGTTTTTTTATATGAAATAAGTGTTTGCTACATTGCGTCATAATTTTTTAATCATTACTATTTAAAATAGTCAGTATACTATATTTGTTTACCTTAATAAGTGCATTAGCCAGACTAGTTAATATTTTTATAAGAAATTACTTTTAAAAAAAAGAATTGAATGTAGAGATTGCAAATAGAAATATTTATTTGTTCATCCATGCTCATCTTCTAAAAACACATCGAATAGAAATATTGAGCATAGAGTTGATTAAAGTTAGTTATTCCAATAATTCCTCACTGGAGTTGAAATCTTGCTCCAAGTCATTATTGCAGTTGTAGAAGTTATGGTATTTTCGCTTGGGGTAATCAGGCTTCGTGAACCGAATATTCTCCATGCCATTTTCTTGCTTGCATACGTGAAATCCAATACACTGGATCTCTACACCATTCTTGTGTGTTCCAATTTCTTGCTGGACAGAAACTCTAAAAAGAACACACACCACAATTGCAGGGAACTGTTTTTAGACCCAGAAGCACACTGAATTTCCCTTGCTATGGTAATCAAACCATTTCGGGATGCTTTCTCCTGGCAAAGAAAAATTAGTGGAACTTGTTTAAATTCTGACACTAAGTTATTTTCAAATAAAAGTTTAACTAATTGTCTGATGATTTATCTTGGTGGACTTGTATTTGTAACCTTCCCTTTTGAACCAATTTCTAATCTTTTTTCTTCATGTTATTTTCATGTTTTGCCTTGTTCAAATTATGGTTGTAGCTTTAGCTAAAGAATTTTATTTTTTAAAGGGAAAAACCAAGGTAAACTTCAAAAATGAAAAATATATATTATTATGATTATGATTATCATCATTATTATTATTATAAAGGCCCAAAAAAATTGGGTTTACAGGCCAGTTTAAAAGCCTGAATTGTTAAGATTGAGCTTAGTTTAATGAGACTTTCTGTACGTTCGGTTTATTGGGCCAAACTCAAATAGGCCCTGGATTACGGGTTATAGATTTAAGTGCCTTTTCAGAAGAGCATGAAAGCAAGCATACAAAAACTCACAGATAAGAGGAAGAAGACCCTGGAGAATTGAACATATATACACGGTCATGCCTTGGTGTCCAAGAAATTGGAAAACTGCGAAAGAAGAAAAAGAAGTTATGGAAGAACTCACAAGAGTACAGATCATCACATGAATGGGCATCATGATAATTGAGTATAATGTTCCATTATTGCCTCTTTCGACATGCTCATGTATATACATTGCGTCCAAATTTATCACACTGCTGTAATAACTTCTGTTCATAGAACATTATAATAACTTATCGAAGTTCATGTTGGAATATATAACTCACTTCAAAGCAAGGTATATAATGGATGAAAAAGAATCAACTAAACGTATATTTGTTGCTATAATGAAAAGTTACAAACTTAGAAAGGGGAATTATCCTCATATATGACATGAACTAAAGCATTCATATATTGGAAAATGGCAGCAAAAACATTCCAAATATATAAAACTAGTATATTTGTATTGCCTATACAAATGTATTGCTAACAACGTGACATCAGATATTTTTGTGTTGGGTAATTTTGGTGCTTCAATCAGTTGAAATACAGAACAGTACAACGTATGCCTAGGAATGGAGGTCGATAGTTCTAACTTCTTGCCATTATAAGTAAGTATATTTCTATCAATTGTAATTTTAAAGTTGCTACAAATGTGACAAATTTGCATGGGACAAAACTAAGAAAAACAAATATAGCCAAGTTATATGTGTTATCAAAACCACGTGGTGCAGCAGAGCTTATATATACTATGTTAGAGAATGTCAGTGGCAGACATGAAAAGAAATAGGAAGGACAAAAAATTACCTCGGAAACTCATGGTGCTCGTGGCTGACCCAAGTGAATTGCCAGATTCTGTTAAATTTGAATCCCAATTCATATCCTCCATAGTTTGTTATTTCCCCTCTGAAAGATCCACTAGTAAAAGTATTGGATACCAATCGACCCTCACCATATGAAGCGCTCCGTAATGTTACAAGCATGGCGCTTCTTTCCCTCAGCTTCTGTCTCTGAGCTGTCAGTGTCTTCTTTCTTTCTCTTACCTCGTTCTTCCTTTCTCTGTAGCTCTCATTGGCCGGTGACCTGCATCATAAATTTCTTGGATACCAAGACTTATTAACAACTGCCTATCCCTTGTGGTGAAAATGATCCTGCTTCCTTTACCAAACCGATCACATTCTCTAATTGCTCGTAGCCTACCCAATTCTTTAACTTCTTCTTCAATAATTACGAGAATCTTCTTCTGTGGGAACCAGGGTTGTTTTATCAAATCACAGAAACCATCCAATGTGAAAACAATGCTCTTCCTGGCGATTTCCCAGAACGAGAAAAATACCAAAAATCTTCAAAATGACGAGCAATAAAATGACTCACAGGACGTGTCATTAGTGAGAAGTCACGTGTTTCCCAAATTCCTACCATTTTGACTTCCTCATTAGGCCCAACATCCAGAAGTGAGATTACTTCTTGACATTCCCTGCCACACCGTTTTGAGGGGGGGGGGGGGAAAAATCCGCTAGTCCTACTGAGGTTGAAAATGACGTCTTCAATAATATGGTCGTCTTCTTTAGCGTTACTGACAAATTTAGAAGAAATTCACTTTTTAGTCAAACAAAAAATTACGATATGCTATTTTTAGAAATAAAGCCATGCTCCCCCCCCCAAAACATATTTCTCCCAATAAAAATTAATAGCATTCTTACATAAAGAATTAAAAATTGAAATGCGGTAAAATTATTACAAAAATTTTAAAATAATATTAAATTCAGTCACATATATTAAAAAAATTACTAAGTCATTCTAGTGATGAATAAATTTGTAATACAGACATGTACAGTTATTAATTAAAATAATTACATAAATCAAACATGTTCCCTTTTTTTGTCCTTTTTTTTCTTTTGGTGCCGAGCCTTTTGATCATTGAAAGAATTCAATTATACTCTCTCCGGTTCTTAATATAAGACCTATTAACTAATTTCATTATATTAAGAAAGTTAGGTAAGTTAGTTAATTTAAAAAATATGACATATTTTTCCTAAAACACCATAATTATCTTCTTTAATATCCTTCTTCTTTTTTATACTTGATTATGATTGAGAAGTATCCATAGGGATAATTTAGAAAAAATAGATAAATAAGAGAATAGATCTTATATTTAGGATCAAAATAACTTAACAATTAGATCTTATATTAAGAACCGGAAGAGTATATGCATATGGCCATTGTTCAATTACTGTGCCTAAACTTTTCAAAATTTTAAAAAATAGTTTTGCACGTTTTTGGAATAAATATTCAAAATTATTATAAATTCAAAAAATTAAAAAGGGGTCTTATGAGCTTCATTTTCTTATTTTCCCCTTAATGCAAGTATGATCTCCATTTCCATTTGGACATCTGGTTTGATTTGTGCAACACAAGATATACAATACTTATTATATTATTAATATGAATTTGCAATTCAATTTATTAATTTTTATTCAAATACATGAAAAATACTTTTCATTTACAAAATTATGCTTTTATCTTTTTTCATTCTACTCATCATGGGAGAACCAGGAAAAATATATCTCATGTTAACCGGTAGTAGCAAAGCATTTTTATCAATATATTATTCCCATGTAAAGTAGAATAATGTATATTAGAGTTATATTGATATAAAATCAAAAACTATATTTAATATGCAACTAATATCAAAATTTCAATAACTCATATTCATAAATTATATATGATACTACATTCGGTTCTTAATATAAGAATTAGTTTAAGTTTCAAATGGTTCTAAATATATATCTCAATCCATTTTGTCTCTCATATTTATTCATTTTTTTTAAAGTAGTCTTTGTAGTAGTCGCACATATCAAATATTTTTATCAAATGACAATTGATTAGCAAGGGTATTTTCGAAAGATAACACCTATTTATTACAAATAACTAACTGAACTAATTTTCTTAATTTACTCAAATTAATCAATTAGCTCTTATGTTAAGAATAGGAAGTAGTATGTCTTATTTAAAGTTTTTGTTTAATGAACCATTTGAGATATGGGAGTATTAATAGCTAAAGTAATGTCCAAAAATAAGAATAATTAAGAAAAAGGGTAAGGACATACCTGGTAATGCTTCTCAGGTTAGCTGCTTTAGACAAAGCCAGCCTCCATTTCTGCACTAGTTGTTTGTTGTGTTTGTATATCTTCTCAAGCCTTGCAAATACTTTTCCGTAACTCCCTGTTTGATCTCGCAACTCTAATGGCTCCACGCCATAAAAAATTGGATAAACGAATCGGCATTCTATGCTAAAGCACTCAAGAATGGTGGCAAGACTATCCAAACAAGATGTTGAGGATGCATAGTTTTTGGAGATAACTATGACAGTGGTCTTGGATTCTTGTATTGCTTTCAATTCTTCCTCACTTGTCTTGAGAAATTATTGTCAATGAAGGTATGGATTCTCCTTCCGCATAGGCGATTGTAGAGATGGCTAACAAAACTTGAACATTCATCATTGTCACCTCTATAACTCAAAACACATCATAATTCCATGTGGATGGTAATACCGCTCGCTCTGCGTTCACATCTTCATTTTGTGAAACCTGGGCCTTGAGATTGGCGACACCTGGAGCTAGGTCTAAGCAAGTACATTGAAATATTATCATCTCAAGTTAAAAATGTCTATTTACATTTGTATTAGTTATGCAATAGTCAACTTGCACAAGTGATAAAACAAATAAGCTTCAAATCACCATATTTTTAAGGAAATTGATCTAAAATTTCTTGTAATTTCTCTTTTTTAATTAGATCCTATCTGTTTCTATCGTCAACTCCTTCAATCCCCATCTTTGTTTCACCTAGTTTGTTGGATTTGTTGTTATTGCTAGTAATCAAGCAATGTTTTGACATGAGAAAGATATTAAAGTAGGTAACACAGAACAAAAGGAGAAACCCAACCTTGGTAAGGCATGTTGTCTTCAAGTTCTTCCCGGTGTTGTGGATGTTGTAATCTTTCCCAGGAGTTACTATCAATGTATGTTGTCCTAGGATCCATAAATCGGATGGTTGTTGAGTTTTTTTGTTGCTTATAAACATGAAGGGCTAAGTGAAATTGATCCCTTCCCTTTTTCATTTCTTGGACATTGCTCTTGATGGAAACCTTCACATGATTCCATTTATTTCCATGTGGCAGTTCAGCCTTGGGAATCATACTTTGCAGATCGCATATACATAAATGACCCATCTTCATCGTTGATAACAGAAGCCACTCAGAAGAAACGTCTAGCTTGACATTATTGACGTGCACCAAGAATGAACAATTGAAGAGAAAATCCTGATCTTGTTTAACAAGAATCCATAGAAAAATTGTTGGAAACACATCACGAACCCAAAAGGACACACAGCTTCCCCTACTATAACTATCAACATTTTCTGGGAATTTACCTCCAGGAAAGATAAAGTTTGTTTTCCCAGGTTGCAAGTTGAGTACCTATCAATTGCATTTTAAGGGGGAAAAAAACTAATAAATAAAATGTAGGGAGATGATTATATACACATAGAGGGAGGGATAGAAGAAGAGAGACCTGATACAATACTCTGCTTTCAGATGTTTTTGTCAATGACATGCAGCATATGGCACTGAATTTTTCCAAGTTTGGTGGCATCTCCTCAATATGTTGAAGTCGGTTGCAATGATCCAGTGAAAGATATTTCAAATGGTGACATTCCTTGACGCATGCTGGAAGGGTTGTAACACGACTACTGAAGCTTAGATCTAAATGTATCATATTAGTGAAGTGAGAGAGGCAAAGAGCAAGAGAGTCATCTGATAAATTGCATTTTGAGAAGCAAAAACGTTCTAGTTTCAAAGACAGTGCATAGCAATCCAAGTTTCCTTTCTTGTCCTTCCTCATACATCTTTATATGAGATAGTACTTTAGAAGAAGCTGCATTTAGTTCCCAAAGATTTGGCAGCAAACAAATGGTGGTTGGTAGCTGCTCAAGATAAGGACATTCCTCTATGTTTAAGGTTTCAAGTCCAATGAGATTACAATTGAAGATGGCAACACAATAATGGCTGTTCTACCCAAGTGAAGATTTCGCATATATTTCATCTCAATCAATATCTCTGGGAACTATAGAGACTTGAACAACCATAGAGGTTGAGATTCTCAAGAGATACCAGTCTAAGGTCTGGAAGCAAAATCTCCAAGCTATTGCATCGCATGGCACTCAATTCTTTCAATTTATTCAAACACCCAACTGAATGATGGATTTCGACTAAATTTGTGCAATCATCAAGCCACAATTCTCTTAAATTAGAAACTCCAGATAAATCTGGAATTTGTTGTAGAAATTTGCAATTTCTAAAATTCATGCGGCTTAAAGTGTGGAACTTCTGCAAAAACAAAAATAAATTCTCAGAAAGTTAGACACATAAACCATGAAAAATATGGCAAGTGTTAGATATACATACATACGTACCTTTGTAAATGGCTGGAGTGTATCAAAACAACTATCTGACAAGTCAAGACAAATAAGTTCTGTTGAACAAATATTATGCGGCAAAAATTTGAAAGGATACCCCTTCCATTTCAACCACTTTAAACTCTTCGGGAGATGTGTGGGGCATTTTGAAATAAAGCTTGTACTTTTTATCACAAGGATTTTGAGATTTGTCATCCTCATGAATGCCTTTCCACTCCATTGCATTTGTACTTCATTATCTTCAGAAAAGTCTTCAGGTAGGTCTAGAAATATGACTCCCACTTTATTGGTTCCCTGTCAAAATGAATACACACATAAATTTTAGAACTTAGACATGCAAAAATCATAACGTAATTTTAAAGAATAAAAAAAAGAATTCATATATCAGTGATCTTACTGTGTTTTCGATTTAAAACATGGAGAATATCTTGGTAGAACCATAACCTACTTCGTTTACCAGGTTCATTTGGTGATTCTTGTCGAACAATTTCTTTACCCATATCTTCAATCACGTCATGCATTAACACCTGATCTCCTTCAATCCTTATGAGGATTTATTGACCAAACATTAATAACATTATCTAGTGGATTCCATATAAACATAACAACATGCCCTTAACTTCTCCTAATTCCTCACCTTTGGAAAAACAAGCCAAGTGTAGGAAAATTTCTTTCTCAAATTCTCCTAAAGCATCATAGCTTAATCTAAGGACTTCCAAGACTTCTCCTTGTGGAATTCTTTTAAATTGATCCAATGCAGAGTGCCATTCATTGACTCCTCTACCGCATAAGTGAGAACCAGTCACTTTTAGGACTAATGGAAATCCACAACAATAACGTATTGCACGCTTAGAAGCCTCCATGAAATCAGACTCCACATTCTCCTTTTTAAAGGCATGCCAACAAAGCAATTGAAGAGATTCCTCATCATGTAATTCCCTAACATTATAAATGCTCTTAACATGAGAACTTGCTAACAACTGTTTATTTCTAGTTGTTATGACAATTCTACTTCCAAGACCAAACCAATCACAACTTCCAGCTAGAGCTTCTAGCTGTTTCAATTCATCAACATCATCAATGATCAAAAGAATTTTCTTGTGGCCAAGCCTATGTTTTTTACTGGTATTCCTTCATGCAATCACCCAATTTGAGATCTTTCTCCTTGACTAATTTACAAAGCAATGTCTCTTGAAGATGTGCCAAACCATTTGGCATTCTAGACACAGACTTTCCTCACATTAGGAGAAAACATAAGCCTTCAAAATGATCAGCAATCAAATTATATAAGGCTCTTGCAATCGTTGATTTACCTATCCCACCAGGTCCCACAATTCCAACCATTTTATTTTTCTTAGTAGACCAAAGATCTAAATGTGAGACCACTTCTTTCACCGAGACACAAGTCCAACAGGGTATTGAGTAACGTGTAAATGATTATGAATACGATTAATCCTCGCTGATACTTCATTGGTGATCTTTGTGAATCCTGAACAATCAGAGAAAAGTTCACGATTAAACTAAATTATATGACGTGCCAAAGCTAACTTTGTTCGTCTTCTATTCATCCTTATAAAGGTCCCATTCCTTATCCAAGCAA